TAAATTGACCCAGCAGGTTACCCTCCGAGCTAAGATGAAGACCCCAGTGTCTTTTGGCTACTGCTCTTCTATCATACAGTCCTGGGGCCTTGTTCAGTATAAGCAAATCAAGTTCCAAGTATAATGCAGGGAAAAATCCTTTCTACATCTTTTGCATTTTGTACCATGTATGCTGAAGTTAAGAAGTAACTGCATTTGTTCCTACCAACTGATTCAAATAAAAAGGAAGCCTTAAGTGCTTCACTGGCATACCAGAGGTCTTTTGGGGAACAGGTGTGTCAGAGAAGGGGAGCTGTGTGGAGGTGGTATCAATACTCAGGAAGAGTCCTGAAAAGAGACCCTCCGCTTCATGAGGCTGTGAGGTGTAGCAGAAATGGCAAAGGCTCTGAAATCACAGTTATTCAAATCCCCGTGTAGCCACTAGCCGTTATTTACAATTACAGTAGTACTACGCCCTTATCCAGGGTTTTGATTTTCCTTTCTGGTTTCAGTTACCAGTGTCAAACGCAGCCTGAAAATATTAAATGGAAAACTGCAGGGGGGGGAAAAATCATATTTAAAATGTGTGTGCCCTTCAGGGTAGCATGATGAACCCTCCCAACACCCCCTCCGGATGTGAATCATCCCCTTGTCTGGAGTCTTCACCCTGTATTCCTGCCCTGCCCTAGTCATTCAGTAGCCATTTCAGTCCTAGTTCAACTATCTCGAGTACTTACGTTTCAAGTAAACTTTATTTAACTTAATAATGGTTCCAAAGCACAAGAGTAAACTTTACGTATGTATGCACAGGAAAAAACACCATATATAGGGTTCTGTACTACCTGTGCCTTTAGGCATACTCAGAGTGGGGATAGGGACTTGGAATGTATCTCCCACATAAGTGAGGATGCAAGGGGACTACTGTACTGGATCCCAGTTGCCTCATGTATATAAAACGCGGCAACGAGGACTGTTCTTTGGACTCCAGATCACAGTGCTTGGCATAAAGCAGGTGTCCCATAAAGAGCGAGTTGCTGGGCCCACCGGAGAGACCAGGGTATGCGCAGGCCAAAGAGAGCAGCATGGTCTGGGGCGGGTGACAAGTACTTCTTTCAGATGGACCCCTAGGCACATACCCCTGCTAGCCTCATTTAGTCTCTGCTCTGCCAGCTCCCAGCACTGCGCGAACCGCTGACTCAGGGTGACTACAGGGAAATGACAATTTTCCCCCCCTCCTGGCCCAGAGCTCCGAATAACCGACGAGTCAGAAATGGCTGCTGCAGCAGCAGAGGGAGCCAGGGGGTCAGGGTTGGCCAACCCAGACTTTGCCCCCGAAGCAGCCTCGCCTGGATTGACCTCTAGCACGGAGCCCGCACAAAGTGCTGAGTCACGCGGGGGCGGCGCCCCGGGCCGGGAGGCGGGCCCGGGCCGTCACGTGGCCGGGGCGGTATCACAACAACCGGGCGGCGTGCAGCGCCCGCGCTTCCTCCCGCGACCGAGCATGCTCAGCTCGGCCCCGGGGCTGCGGGAGGCCCCGGCGCCCTGCTCCACAGTCCGGGTTTTCCCGGCGGCCGCCCTGAGTGCGGGGAGCCCGGGATGCTCTGTCCGAACCGCCGCTCTCTGAGCTCGGTTCCGGCCTTAGGAATCTTGTAACCCGGCACCACCCCCAGTTTGTCCCCCACCCTCCCAAAGAAATCACCAGGAATCTCCTTTGGGAAAAGCCTGGGGAAGAGCTGATTCTGCAACATAGGAGCTCCTTCTTGTCTCCTTAAGGCTCGTTGAAGCCCTAAGCGTGTCAAACTCGCAGCATGTCAAACTTGCTTGCTTGCGGGGGCTGCCTGCTGAGACCCACTCCCTGGTCCTGGTTGCAATCTGCAGAATGAGTTCCAGGATGCAAATGCAAAAATGCAAAACGCTGTCCAACACAGGGGAATGACTGTTGTGGAATGTGACTTCCTTGATCGGTGCTGGGTTTCCTTACCCCTAGTAACAGTAGTTGGCAAAGGCACTGCAGAGACCATGGCTTAAGTTGTTACCTAACTGCCTGGTGGTGCCGCCACGCTGCACCCAACTGGGGATTGTCCAGAGCCCAGAAGCTCCCTTTTGGGGTGCTAGTTTGGAGTTTGGGGGGCCCTCCTGTGAGAATCAACCGGAATCTAAAACTGACTCAAATGATAGTATTGACTCTCACTACATTCAGTATCATGAGCACTAGCTAGACTAAACTATGGCGCCTCCTAACCACACACCCCCTTCACCGTTTCCTTTTTAAAACGAAACTGACGCTTTCCCAAGAGACCAGCTTCACCATATTGTGAGGAAACGTGTAGAGGAAAGTGGGTGCTTTGCAAAGTGTAAAAGTCTACACCTGTGCTGCCTTAATTAAGTGGAATGCAAGCCACAAATGTAATCTAAAAATTTCCATTAGGCACCTTTAAATACTAAAAAGAAACAAGTGAATTAATTTAAATTATTTTATCTTGACATATCCAAAATACTCCTATAGCAATATAGTCAATATGAAGTTATTGAGATATTTGCATTTTTTGGGGTACTAAGTTTTTTAATTGGGTGTGTGTATTATACCCACATCACACCTCTCAGGCCACTAACTTTTCACTGGAAATTCTTGATCTGTGTTTCATAAAATGACCAGATGGAAAAGTGGATTTACATTCCCAACCTCTTGCAGGTTCACTTAAAAGTTTTCCAGCAACCACATGAAATGTCCATTTTGAAATTTACATTTAAGTGGGCTTAAATAAAACTGAAATTCAGTTTCTCAGTCAAATTAGCCATATTTCAGTAGTCACAGATGGTGGATGGCTATTGTGTTGAACAATGCAGATCTATGCAAATATGCGGTGAGATTGTGAGAAAAACAAAAGGACCCTTTGGATGCCTCCTCACCTGTATTCGAAACAATGGCCAACGCTGTCTCCCACCCTAGCCCCCACGCTTACCTGCCTTCCACAGGAAGCAAACATTTAGGCAAAGCACTTTTCTAGAATTAAAGATACAAAGGCATAAATGATATCTATCCCAGAGGAAATCACTATCTAATGTGGAGATATTTTTAAAACGATTCTATTATAATGTAGAAATCTGAGGCCTGTTCAAATATGACCAAAATACAGAGAGGAGTAACTGCAACTCCAAGAACAGGAATGTGTCAGGTGAAGAATTCTAAGCTGAAAGATACAACGGAAAGCCAGGACTACACAGGTCTGGAGAGATTGGTGGGGAGGGTACAGGGAAGAGTGTGCAGTAGGTGGGGATGTTTGAGTCAGCTGGGGGTAAATTAGAATGAGACTTGGTTTTTATCCCAGCTATACCTCTAGGATTGAAATTTCATCCCCTGAGCTTCAATCACTGTCACACTCCACCCCACCTACATACACATACCCTACTTGAAAATTACAGCCAGTCCTTGGATATCCATGTCCCCAAGGTACATCCAACATGAAGGATATGAGAGAAGAGACTCCTATCGTATATCCACTTAGCAGCTAACAAGTGCTTACTAAATGCTAACTTTGTAGTGTGAGGGAACTGGGCACAGTAAGTACACACGTTCTGGCCTCAGTACATGTATGATCTAGTTGCTGTCACTCCCCCCCCCCCCCCCCGACATGTCATGCCATTGCTCGGTCAACACATTTATTGAACAACTACTTTGTGGCGAGGTGACTCATAGCTTCCCTTTCTTGCCAGGCCAACCCCAGCTGTTTCTTATATCTTCTACCCCTAGGGGTAAACTCACATGAACATTATTGTAATCACTTACTGGATGACTCTTAGGCTAGGACCCGGTATATATTTTTGGAGGTGATTCCTTCAAATGACCCATCTAGGGCTATTGAACAAAGTCCCCTTTGTTACCATAAATGGTGTTTGTGTCATCCAAAGAAAAGTATGTCATCAAATAATCAGAGAATACACACACACACACTTGTAATATACACAGGTGTCTAAAAACTTGTAGACAAATTGATTCTTCTTAATAACCAGACATTTATTGACCATTAACTCCATGCACCTGTGCATTGTGCACATTCTTACAAACAGGCAAAAAAGACAGAGTTAAGATAATTTTGTACAGGCGTGAAAATAACTTGCACAAGGTCTCACAGGCAGTAAACGGCGGACACTAGAATGGAACATGTGTTTCATCTGCCTCCCAAGTTACTATTTTTCTTGCCATTCCCTGCGGTTCTCTGCTTTTACAAGGGGGAAGCCCCTCTCTTACCTAAAAAAAATAATCTGGTGGGTCCTTCATTAATTCTAACACTCAACTTTCTACCCCAAACCGGAGTCGGTATGTTTGGATAAGAGAAAACTGACTCCTACTTTTCGCTTTTGCTGACATCCAGGCCGACCACACACTCCCAGTCCCCGGTGAGCGCGTTCCCTCTGACTCCGCCCTAACCACGCCTGCGCACACCCCCTTCCCCGGCTGCCCGCTTTGGTCGCTTCCGGGCTAGGCCCCGCCCCACCTCGGCCCCGCCCCGCCCTCCGGCCACGCCCCGTCCCGTAGTTTATAAGATCCGGAGCGACGGATCGCGCCCAGGAAGGGCGGGCGCGCGGAGGGGAGCACTGGGCATGCTCCGCGGCGGCGCAGGTTTTGGTCACAAGTAGGAAGGAGCCAGCGCAGGGCTCGGGGCAAAGCGAAGCGGGAGCCGCCGCGGCCCCGCCGCCTCGGAGCGGGAGCGGGCGCGGGGCGAGGCTGCCGGGCCGAGAGCCGCCCAGCCTGCCCGCACGTCCTCTGTCTGTCACCCCGCGAGGTGCGCCGGATCTCGGGGCCGGTCACGGGGCGGTGAGGACCGCGTGTGGGGGAGCCGGACCGGACCGGACCCTCCCTCAGCCGGCTGCGGCCCGAGGGCGCCCCTCCGGGGCGGAGCCGCCGGCGCCGCCGCCGCCTCCTGCGGGCGGCTGAGTGTCCGGCTCGCACCCGGCGCCGGGAGCTCGCGGCCGCCGTCGGCTCCCGAAAGGAGGAGGAGGAGGAGGAGAAGGGGGCGGCCATGGGGCTGCTGTCCCAAGGCTCGCCCATGAGCTGGGAGGAGACCAAGCGCCACGCCGACCACGTGCGGCGGCACGGGATCCTCCAGTTTCTGCACATCTACCACGCCGTCAAGGACCGGCACAGGGACGTGCTCAAGTGGGGCGACGAGGTGAGCGCCCGCGGCCCCCGGCCCCCCCGGACCGCCCCGTCCGGTCCCCCTGCGCCGCCTTTGTTCCGCGAGGCCCCACCTGCGACCCCGGCCCCGGGACCCCACGGCTGTCAGCGCCCCAGGGCCCCGGGCGCCTCCCTGCCCCGGGTCGCCGCCCCCGCCCTCCTCCCACCGGGCGTCCAGGATGGTCTGGGGCGGGGGCCCTGCTCTGAGCCTTCCGGCTGGACGGTTCTCACCCGTTCATTCATTCATTCATTCATTCACGTGGGTTTCCTCCTCCTCGAAGCAAATGCGAACTGGGCACTGGGCGGGTTCCACCGTGGAAAAGCGTGACATTTACTTGGTGCTTCGGGGAGTTTGCAGTCTGATTCTTCTCTGCCGGCCGCCTTTCGCGAGCTCCTCTCAAGATGCACTTTTGCTATTAACGTGAAAGGGGAGTTATCCCAGGAAGGAAGGCCCGTCGTTACTAGGAATCGGGTCTAAAGGATGTTTCTTCTGCCCCGAACCCCCTCATTGGTTATCTTTTAAACCTCATCAGTCCCCCCTTTTACCATCTCCCTCCCTCCCTCCCTCCCTCCCTCCCTCTCTCTCTCTCTCTCTCTCTCTCTCTCTCTCTCTCTCACACACACACACACACACACACACACACACACACACGCACACACACGCACACACATACACTTGGGTTGGGATTTGTTAATACCTTTCCGTGGCCTAAATCCAGCATACGTTCTGCCTGGAGGTGAAAATATCTCTGGGTTCTCAATATGTTGAACCTGTATTTAATTGGAAAGATCTGGAAAGCATTGCTTCCGGTGAGAGTTACTCTTTTCTGCCAAAGCATTTTGTGCTCTCCTCCCGTTTTTTAAAAAAATCACAGGTATATACAGTTAAGATAATTAAGCGACTTCATGAAGAACCCACTTATATTTTCTGTATTTCTATCATTGGCCTTTTATGCGTGGTCAAGTGTAAGTGACTCACCTCTAGACTTTGCTATCACTCTTGACCTAAGTGTGCCAATACACACTCTCTCCCGGAAAGAGTGAGTTGTCGTGTTTCTAAGATTGGGACATAATTCTTCTTCTTGCTGTTTTAAGTTAGAAAAGTATAATAACCAGTAATTCACATTTATATGTTGTGTTTATTTGTTTTTTCTCATCACAAAAGGGGTACAATATGTTTGGTGACGATTCTTCAATTTCAGTCAAAAGTTAATTGTTTCTTTACAACATCTGGAATTTTATACTTTCATTTGTGTATTGTGTGTATTTTGTTATCTATTTACTCTACCCCTTGGAATTCTTTTCTCTCCAGGACTTTTATAAAAATGGAATACTATGAAGAATATTGATTTATTCATGCATAGTAAAGAATGTCAAACTCTTGAGTTATTAGTTGAGGTACTGTGTATGGGGTCACATTTAGGGTATTTCTCACCATGGTTTCAGTTAACGGAGTTTGAAAGCCAGATTTATTGTGGAAGGCTTCCTTGATGCAGTGAGGCTTTAAAACAGAGCAGTAGAGTAATTACTCAGGTGTTAGCACTAACCCTTACATGTAGTAGGAATTCACAACCACATTGCTGAATAGAAGTCTTCAGGCTGGGGCAGACAGCAAGCAAGTTTGTTTTTATACAGACCCCTCCGGCAGTAATTGAGAAACTGGCTGGGCAGATAAGAGGAGAGAAGGGTGTGGTGGGTAGTATGGCCCCTGAGATGGCGAGTGGCCGTGGCAGACAGAAAATGGTGTTTGGGGGGCGATATGTTGGACAGCGTTACCGTGACACCATAATACGTATCGCTCTTCGTGGGGAGTTTTGGTGGTGTTCTTACCAGGTCATGGACTTGGGTTAGAAAAGAAGAAAAGAGCCTTGAAACCGTGGCAGGAGAAATGCTCCGCCCTGGTTACTAGGACACTGTTTGTCTCTGGTAGTATTTAATCAGAAAGAACCCTGGATCTGGGGTTTCACTAGTGTTGTATTCCAAGGCCTGCCAACCTAACCTGCTTGTGTGATTCTGAGCCTCAGCTTCCTCATTTGGCAAGTGAGGGAGTTGGATATTCTTTCCCTTCCAGCTTTTACAGCTTAAGTACAGTTTGAATACATTTTAAAATAATGTACATCTTTCAAACTAGAATGTTAGTCTTTGAAACTCACCTGGAGATAACCTTTAGATTGCTGAGTAAAGAGAAGGCTGTCACCAAGTGCCGTGGTAAAAATGGGTTGTATATAAAGGGGTGTGTATGCTGGCTTATTGGAACTAAAGAAGTGGGAACCTTGTAGATAGATTCCAAGATCAGCTTACTTTCTGATCTTGGAATCGTGAAAGGGGAGTTATCCCAGGAAGGAAGGCCCGTCTTTACTAGGAATCAGGTCTAAAGAATGTTCCTTCTGCCCCAAGGTCCCGGGGCAGAAGGAACATCCTTCCTCTTCTCTCTTCTCTCTTCTCTCTTCTCTCTTCTCTCTTCTCTCTTCTCTCTCTTCTCTCTCTTCTCTCTCTTCTCTCTCTTCTCTCTCTTCTCTCTCTTCTCTCTCTTCTCTCTCTTCTCTCTCTTCTCTCTCTTCTCTCTCTTCTCTCTCTTCTCTCTCTTCTCTCCTCTCTCTCCTCTCTCTCTTCTCTCTCCTCTCTCTCCTCTCTCTCCTCTCTCTCCTCTCTCTCCTCTCTCTCCTCTCTCTCCTCTCTCTTCTCTCTCTTCTCTCTCTTCTCTCTCTTCTCTCTCTCTCTCTCTCTTCTCTCTCTTCTCTCTTCTCTCTTCTCTCTTCTCTTTTTCTTAATACCTGCAGTGTGACAGTGCTAACTCTTGCCACCATTGATTATGCTGTCTCTGTTGGGAATAGAAGTTCTAACTCCTCGGTGCCAGGAACTCATGGGTTCATTTTGCCTCAGGATGAGGTGGGGATGAAGGGGAGAAGAGGGATATCCCAGGGCGCTCTATTGCTGCTAAACATTGTATGTATGCAAAAAAGTATGCACTTCTCTCTTCACAGCTCACACACAACTTTTCAGGTACATATTTTTTTATAACTTGAGTCTGCACATTAAAAAACAAACCTATGAAGTCTATGGTGCAAATGTGGCCTTAGATATAACTTTTGAGTTTTCCCTGATAATGTCTAGTGTTAGCTACCTGCCAGCTCTTGGCCGCTATTTAGTGGCAGAGGCATTATCAGAACTGAAATCTGTCTGACTCCAGGTTCATTTCTTAAGCACATTATACCGGTTTTGGATTATTTACAATGTATGAGATTTCACCAAATCTCCATTTACAGAGTTCAAACTCTACAGGTTGCAGAGGTATCAGAACACAACATTTAAAAGCAAACATAATTTTTCTTAAATGTTTTTAATCCAATGTGTGGCTCTCAAAGGCAAATAAACTGTCCTCTAATTAGAAAAGTCCATGTGAACTTTGAGAGGAAAATATGGTATGTCTTTAATATTTGACTGATACGTATAAAACTAATAAAACTGAGGTTGTGGGATTTAAGGGTTGGTATATTACCTGTTGATTTTTGAACTACAAGTTTGCCTGTGTGGGTGTGATCGTCTAAGAGTGCTTAAGTGACTAGAAAATGCATCACTTGTCAGGTAATAAGATTATAATCCTATAAAGTAATATAATCCTCAGCTATAAATCTGGAATAGACAAAAACAGTCATTTTAGTCTAATGGAAGCTTTTGTGTAGCAATTATTTAATCTCGCTTAACCTCATATTCGTCATCTGTAAAATGAGGACAATAATACCTTCCTGGTAGGGTTATTAAGATTAAATGAGATAATGTTGATGAAATAATTTACAAATGAGGGCCTAGCCTTTTAATTAAAGACTCATAAATGGTAACTTAAAATGTTTCCTAAAAAAATTTAATATCCAGTATATCTCATTTAAATTAGAATGGTCATTAGGGAATGAGGAATTCCATGTATGTGGGTTTTTAAACTAATTAAATGAAATTTACCTGCTTAGATATAGTTATATTCCATTAGCTTAGTAACTTTTGGTGATATTTCCAAATTGCATTTAAAAGTAATTATTTCCTGATAGCCATTATGAAGATTTTAGGTTTGTGACACATTAAATAAAGTTGTTGCCTCTTACTCTTTCTCACTGCAGGTATTAGTTTAATATCATTTATTAACTTGTGACTAATAGCATGGTGATGAAATGAAGGAAAAAGTGAAACATGGCTGGAGCCTTCCCTCTCCAAAATTACCTTTTGTACCAAGAGGTTAATTTTTGAAGGTTAGGAAACTAGTAACTGACCCTATGTTTATATTAGGGATTGAGGCTGAGAATTTAAAGCTTAAATGTAAGCTTACTATTGCTTCTGAGGTAAATCTTAGTTTTTTGCTGTTCATTTTGTGTTACTTTTGCATGGGCTTGGCTTCTTACATCAATTTCATTGAATTGTAATTTACATACAATAATGACTTTTAACAAGTATACATAACCAAATATCTACCAACACAGTCAAAATTAAAAATATAGAACACTTGTATATAGAACACTTCCATTACACTCCAGAAGCTCCTCTGTTCCTTTGCAGGTGTGTGTGTGTGTGTGTGTGTGTGTGTGTATGTGAAGCTGCCCTAAGAACATGTGGCTCGTAATTAGATGAGAAGGGAAGACAGGCATTCTAGGCAAAAGAACAATGTAATGAAGGTGAGAAATAGCATTGGCATGTGCTGGTTATGTGCACTTAGGTGTTGTAAATGCAGTAAATAGGTCCAATCAGGTCGATGTATGGCTCTGGATAAGTAGAGGTTTTGCTGTAGTTTAAAGGCATGGGGAGAATAGAATGGAAGAAAAGATTTAATACTTCTATACAGCTGGCTCCTCTAGAAAAACGATTCTGTACTTCTGGTCCAGTTACTATATCCCCACCTTATCACTGTTGAATACCTCTGTGAAGAGGAATGCCTAGAATATAACTTCTAATACTACTGATAGTAATGTCTAGAAGTGGCGTTAGCAAATGTACTTCCTAGTATTCTGT